CCTCTCAGTTGGAAGTCGCTTTCATTAGCCACTCAGATCCACATGTTTGATTGTCTCGTAGCAAGGAGAGATTTTGGGTCCGAGAGTTCTTTGCTTTGCTTTTGCTGTTCCTTCTCCTCCTCCTCCTGCTCCTCCTCCTCCTCTTCTTGCTCCTGCTCCTCCTCCTCCTCCTCCTCCTCCTCCTCTTCCTGCTCCTTCTCCTCTTCCTCTTCCTCCTCCTGCTCCTCTTCCTCCTCCTCCTCCTCATCTTCCTCCGCCTCCTCCTCTAATACGGACAATGACTAATCCGAAGAGTAAGACTAAGAGTGCGAGTACTGCTAAGAACACGACTTGTAATAATGACAATGATAATAAGATGATGTCGTATCATGACGTCTGGACCCGCGGCCCCCACCAGGAAAGGAAGTGAAAGGCGCGCAAGGAATTGCCCCGCGCTGTCGCCCACGCCAGACCCGCGGAGGGAGGCGGGAGGAGAGATGGCGAGGGACAAGCTAAGCGCGTTCGCGCCACATCTGACGTCCGACCACTCCCCCCTGCCCACCGAGCCACGATTTGTCCTAGCCAACTGGCCGAATGTCCAATCGGACCGGAATGCACCGATGGCATCTGCACCGCTTGCCTCGTCTACCATTGTCCGAAGGGTAAACGGGCCAGACTGGACCAGAACGCACATATGTAGGGCGGGAATGGCTGGGCAGTCGGATTTCCGACTCCCCGTGCGGCCACTGGGCGACCATTGGGGCTCGCCGCGGGCGCCCCGAGGGCACCTCCCAGATCACTGGGGCGCCTCGGCGCACCTTGCTCCACGCACCCACCCCATGACACCGCGCTCGCGCTGCGCAAGCGCATCCATGAAGCGCCCAAAGCGTTACACGCCAAGAAGATGCTAAAGAGCCTTCGGCATCGTCGACAACGACGACGCCGACGCCGACGCCGACGCCGACGGACCCAGATCCACTCAAAGTCGTTCCCCCGAGCCCTCCCAGGGCTCATCGCGGCCAGTGTTTCGAGCTGCGCCCAGGCGTGGCGAGGAGAACCCCCCACCACGGCCATTAAACTTTTGACGTAAAGCCGTCGTCGTCGTCGTCGTCCTCCTCCTCCTCCTCCTCCTCCTGTTGCTCTTCCTCCTGTTGCTCCTCCTCCTCCTCCTTCTCCTCCTCCTCCTCCTCATCATCATCATCATCAGTCGAGAACTAGGGCGAGCATGGCGACCCGCTGCGACTGCTTTGGCTCAAGGCCGAGCGACTGAGGCCCGCGCGCGGCGGCGCGGGCCTGCGCCCGAGGGCGCGGACACCGAGAGTGATGGTGCGGCTGTGGCGCCAGCGTCGGGAGGAAAGGCCTTTCGACTTGGTGGCGGCCTCGGTCCACCACGGACTGAGGGCTCCAGCGCCACCACTGCGCGACGAGGGCTGGACGTCTCCAGCCACAAGCAGGCAATCGAGGTGACCAACGGCGAGCAGGTAACTTCCATCGAGGTGGAATGCGACCACGGCTCGGACTACGGGGTCGGCTACTGGCCAGCCATCCTCTGATACTGCCCCTGGCTGGACTGCTCCTCCCAGACAAGATGACAAACGTACAGCTCGAGGTGATGGACTCCCTGAAGGTTCCGCCTGCGTGGAGTCCTGGGCATGACAGGGCCTGCCCGTTCAGGTTCTGGCTCACGGATGCGACAATGTGGGCGGCGGCGGCGGCGCGAGAAGTTCTTCCAGAACAGCAAGGACCAGCAGTGGTCCTGCGACTTGGAGGCGCCGCGCGCAGCCTGGCGAGGGAGATGCCGCAGGAGCAGCTGCGCGACGGAGCGTTTGCAGACCCAGGCGACGGGAATGGAGCGAGGCAGCTGAGTGGTCTCCAGTCGCTTCTACTTGTATTGTCGAAGTCGTTCGCGCCGCTGGGTGATGAGACCGAGCTGCGTGCGACCCATGATCTGTTGGGACTCTATCGGAAGAACCACGAGAATATAGACCAGACGCTATCAAGGTTCGAGGTCACACGCAGGAGGGCAGCGACATTGGGAGGATTCAACATGGGCCCGCAGGGCTACGCGTGGATGTTGCTGAACGCTCTCAACTGCAGCCCTCAATAATTGAACGAGCTGATCATTCATTTCCGCGGCGATTTACCCAGGACAGAACAGCAATTCAATGAATTGGTACGTCAGAAGGTACGGACATATTCTGGAGAAGGGGCCGATGGTAGTCAACAGGAGCAGCGGCAAAGGCGGCTACAGTGGCGGCAACTTCTTCTTATTCCCCACCTTCAACCTCGGTGGTGGAGGAGGACAGCAAGGTGATGGACACGACGGAGGCTTTGGATTTGGAACGGGAAGCGGCATGACGCCTGCCAGAACTTATCCTGCAGCTCAAGAAGCCCAAGGATCAGGATGGAGTCCTTCGGTACCATGGTCGTCGACGGCAGGTTCATCCGACCCGTGGGCCAACTACCTGGGTTCAGACAACGCCGAGGAGAACGACACGGACACAGACGAAGACGACGGCAAGGACCTGGACGGATCAGATTTCCCTGGCACCATGGGCAAGGACGACGATGTGATCAAGCAGTATTTCTACCAGACGAGAAGCGCTGGAGGAGATTCACAGGTCGGCCCACACGTTTCCAGCGGTTCAGTAAAGATAAGAGCGGAAAAGGATCACCGATACCCTTCCGAGGGGCCTTCGGACAGCGAGGACATGGAGGCAAGGGCTACCACTTCGAAGAAAAGGCAGACGTAATCCAGTTGGTCGAGATGGCAAGGTGATGAAGTGCTTGACAAAGGGATGCGAAAGCGAGTTCCACCTAGCGAAGGACTGCCCGCACCGTCAAGGCGGGAAACCGAAAGGGGAAAGGTTCATTCATCACCGATGGACCTCGTCCGCTTGCTGGAGCCAGTGCTGGAGTACCCTGGTTTGGATTCAACGCAGGCGCTGCGGCCAACTCGTCTACGGCGGCCGCGACATTTCCGAGCACATCATCAGCACCCGCCTACGGCTTTGGAGCCATCAGCTTCTTCGCAGCAGAGAGCATCGTGACCAATGAGATGCCGGGAGCCGCTGGTAGCAAGGCGAGCGTCAGAGGCTCGAAAGGATTTGTAGTTGTGATCGCACCGGCTACAACAGGGCCGAAGATGGCGATTGAAGATCGACGTGAGCTGGAGGATGGACCCAAGGCAATCCTGCCGAGCGCTACCTGGGAACCCCCTTCGAGACCGAGCGGACCCGCATCATCGGCGAGCGGAGGACCAGCCTTTCCTACAATGAGTATGCCGAGCGTGAGCGAGACCAACCTTGGGAATCGACCAAATACTTGGTCTATCTTCTATTTTGACGCCTTCTGGAGTGACCGCTGGGGCTAAGCCATTAAGTCCTCCAGTCCCGCCGCCAGGCATGGTCTTAGCGAAAGCAGCTACGCCGACAGCGAAACCGACAATGCCAAAAGGACTGAGAAGGTTTGACGTCTACGAGAAGGAACCCCAGCAAGAGGCCTTCAGCATCGGCGGCCTCACGTTCACGGCAGTTCCGCCGAAAGCGTCGGTCACATCGTCGAGCGCGAAGGGCACGGCGGTCAGTTGGAAACAGATCTCGGGTTCACCTGGCGACGATACTCACGCGGCCGTCGTCGCAGAGCAGCAGGTGGACCCTTCGGTCTTCGACGACAAGTTCGAGAGCTACTTCGATGTCGAGGAGAAGCGTGACCTGGATGAGGAGGTCGAGCGCAAGGGCTACGACCAGAACAAGAGCATCGATTTCGCCGACAACGAGGACTTCCACGGGGTCGCCAAGACGCTGAACAAGGAGAGCGAGACCCACTACCTCGGCCATGAACGGACGAGGCTTGACAACGGGGATATGGGCATCCTTGTCGACCCTGGACCTCACGGGAACCTCGTAGGGGGTCGGTGGGCCAAGCAGCAGGCAGCCAAGGCATCGTGTTTTGGCCACAACACCGAAGAGATGATGCTGAACGAACCCCTGGAGGTTAACGGCGTCGGCAAGGGCCCCGCCTACTGCAACCAGCAGTGGCGATTACCGCTCGGCACGCAGGAGATCAGCCGAGAAAGCGAAGGTACCGGCAACCTGGACTCGTACATAATGCCCATCATTCCTGACAGCGACGTCCCAGCACTGCTTGGAAACAGCTGCATGAAGAAGCTTGATGCGATCATGGAGTGTGGCCCCGGCATTATACATCTGTGCGGGCCTGGACGTCGAGAGCTGTCGCTACCTGCCGGCACGCGGAGCTACCATCTGAAGGCCAGTAAAAGCGAGCATTGGCCACTCCCGTGCTCGAAGTTCAAGGAGGTTGCCGCGACGAAGGCGACGGGATACATGATCGACAAGCTACCGCCAAGGCCCGAACAGCTTGACTTTGTGATGGTCAAGACCGAGAACGAGACGAAGCCCAAGGACCAGGACAATCAAGGTCCCGCTGTCACGGGATACGGAGTTGCACCGGGCAGCTCTGGGCAGGGAGCAGCGTGCCGCGCGAGAGCCCGAGCGGTAGCCGCCTCCAAGCCCGCGGCGGCGCTCGAGCAGGATACGGTTCACAAGGAGGTACGCTTCGAGGATGAGCCGCCGGCGGCACCCTCAGAGCACCAATGAGGGTGCCGGGCTCCCGTCGCGGCGGCCGGAGCAGCTGCTGGACGCCATAGGGCGACGCCGCAACAGGTACAGGTTCTCGGTCGCCGTCTCGGTCTGGCCACGACGATGAGGGCTGCAAGAGAAGGAGGCTGGCCAATCGCTCAGGTGCTGGTCTACAATCAGGTATACGGTAAAAAGCTTCGAGATCTCAAACGGCAGTTTACGGAAGGACGGTTTCGATTGCTCTGGGCAGATCTACCTGGGCGCCGTGGAGCCGAACGAGGACAACGTCCACAACAAAGTCTGCGGTGTCTTGAGGAGTGCGTTCGAGCTCAAGCGGCCAGAGGTGGAGCCGCTATGCTGATCGCTGAACGTGGCAGCGCCATGTGGGCAGATCCGACGGTCCTGCGATTGCGGACGGAGGTGCCCCACGAGGCGGACATCCACAGGTGCTCCTTCGACGTGCCTTCTCTTCCAGACGAGTCTGGCGAGCGAGTTTGGAGCGACTGGGTCGACCGCATTCAAGCGTCTTTCAGGGTCAACGCGAAGCCTTGCGTGTGCCAGGGCAGGAGACGACGGCACAAAAGCGACTGGAGGAGCTCATCAGACAGCGACCAGCGGAAGCAGCAACGAGACGAGCAGCATCTACAGTACATGGTGGCGATGCTTCGGGAGATCAACGACGCCCTCGTTATTGAGGGTAACCGTTCACCACCAGAGTCGAGAACCAAGGAGGCTATGATTGTGGACATCCACCAAGAGGGGAGCTCAAACCCAACCGAGGCCAGGATGCGCGCCAAGATGAAGGCCCTGGTCGACAAGCCGAAAGAGGCTAAGAGGAAGAAGTTCGAGATTGAGAATCACTTCGATGACTGCGGTGACTCCATCACGGGGCTGGGTATGAGCAGCGAACTCTTCGCAATCTACAAGGAAAATGGGACATACTAAAATGACGACGACTACCTCGTGTCCTTCACCGAGGAAGAGTTCTACGATGGCGGATATTATGCCTCTTGTCATCGCGGACTCGCAGGCGACGATGGAGCTACGTGGTGCGAAGGCGCTGGAGTCCGTCGGGCCGCCAATCTCACGCATCTTGTTGCCGTTCTCGCGAAGACGACGTCCGGCATGGACGTTCTGGCGATCTGTGAAGGAAGAGGCTACGTCAGTCGCACCTGCGTTTGCAGGAAATGTCGAGTCGCACCCAACTTCGATATCGTGTGCGGCTCAGATCTTCGGAATGCGGACGAACAGTGGTCCCTCTGGGGCTATCTGGAGCGTGGTGTGATGGTCGTGGTAATGGCTCCTCCCTTCACTCCCTACGGCCGCTTCTCGAGCATCAGCATGTTCAACGCCAGGGACAGCTGGATGGAGAGCTACGAGAGATGCCAGCCGTTGGCCATCCTATGCGGAGAGGTGGCCCTCTACCAGCTGGATCGCGGACGAGGCTTCATCAACGAGAGTCCGGCTGGATCCAAGCTGTATCATGAACCACCGTGGCGACGAGTTGCGGTGTACCCTGGAGTTGTGTACGCCATGGTGGATCATTGCAAGGCAGGCTTGAGAAGCTCAACCGGAGTGCCGATGAGGAAGAGGACGGAGCAGCTGGCATCACACGAGGCTCTGCTACGACACGCGGCGATGTTTCAGTGCGACGGCGGACATGAGCTCGAGACGATCGAAGGCAGAGAGGAGACGGAGCGGGCCAGAACGTGGCCCTGGTCTTTCGCAGTCTCCATCGCGAACGGCATCATGGACTACAGTGCATCTCCGAGGTGGCGAATCAGGAGGTGATGCACTACCTGCAGAGCGAGGCGGCCTATCCCGGGGCTGCTGCAGCGGCGCCGGCGGACGAGCAGGAACCGTGGTGGCCACCGTGGGCGCAGCCGCCCTGGGACGCGGCGGGTTCTGCCGACCCGTCGCCTCCTGCAGGACCCGGGCCAGCAGCACGGAGGCGCATCACCGCCTAGAGGACAGACGCCTCCATCCGCGTGGCGCAGCCAGTGCCAGCGGTGGCGGCGACTCCTGAGAGGGAAGCTCCCGGGCCTCCAGCTGAAGCCAGAGTTCGTCCAGCGCGTGCGGGACGGCGAGCACACTCTGAATGGAGCTGCAGGGCGTGCAGCGGCACCCACGTGGCACATACGCGCGTACCTGGCGAGTGCAGGCTAGCAGCGCCTGGAGTACGGACCTGGAGGTGTCAACAGTGCGCCCAGGGAAGGCCAGAGACAGCGCCAGGTCATACGCTCGTCGCCGGACAGTGCAGGGGGGCTACCGACATGGGCCCACAACCACCAGGCCGACGACGCCCAGTCCGAGCAGCGGCCAACGACCCAGCTCCAGGAGCTGGAATACCATTACCTGACGGAGATGTGGACGCTGAAGACGTACCAGATGGAAGAAGAGCAGGCCATGGACGGAGATTGGGCGAGGTGGGACCTGGGCTCGGCAAGGCGCGCGCTGTTCAGGAACAACGAGGCAGTGTCTCGGCGCGTCCTCCGACGCCTCTACATCTCCGATGGCTTCACGCCAACAAGAAGGCCATGAAGCGCATGCTCACCGCCGCCGGTGTTCCGCCCAAAGTGATCCAGGTGGTTGAAGACATCGTGGACACCTGCGGGGTCTGCAGGTTGTGCATGAATGGCGGCAACAGGCCGACCACAACGGTGAAGCTGAGCGTCGAGTTCAACGACGAAGTGCAACTGGATCTTCTCTTATACGAGCGGAGGGTCATTGGACACTCGTGCGAAAGGATGTATCAGGTTTACTGTCGCCCGTGAGCTGGTGGATAAGTCCCTAGAGTACCTCCTGAACTTCATCTGGACGGCCTGGATACAGATGTTTGGCCCTATGGCGGTGCTGACGGTCGACGGTGAAGGTGCCATGGCATCGAAAGAAGCAGGAATGGCTCTCGGAAAGATCGGTACGACACGGAAGCTCAAGGCGCCAGGTCAGCATGCACAAGTGGCGGAGCGACATCACAAGATATTACGGAGACAGCTACACCTGATCGACGCCCAGTGCCGCGAGAACGACATCAAGACCTCATTCGCCAGGAAGCTAGCGGAGGCCGCCTACGCGAATAATGCGTTCCAGATGATCGGAGACGGTACTCCCTCCAAGGCGCTATATGGCAGGGTACCTCGCGGATTGGCTATTTCTCGGCACGCTCAGAGGCTGCGCGAGATTGCGACTACATCGATCATCGAAGCGACGGCACAGGCCAGGATGGAGAGAGCAGCGAAGTCGAGAGCGGCCCCAGTGCTGGAGGCCTTGAAGCTCGAGATCGGCGACCTTGTGCATTTCTTCAACCGTGGCAAGGCTCCGAAGGAGGTGCCGAATTGGAAGGGCCCAGCCAAGGTGGTATCGGCGGCCGCGCCAGAGACGGGCACGCTGACAATCCAGTGGCAGGGTCGAATCATGGCGATCAAAGCCACCGACGTCAGGATGGCAAGCCTGTTCAACTATGTTCACCTACGCCGTGTCGTTCGTGTCGACGGAGAGCGACCCAGCTCGGGTGCTCATCGACTTTGTGCACGACATCGGCGAGGGCTTTGAACACTTAGGCTGGGCGAGTACATCAAAAGGTTGGACGTCGACGAAGATATTTCAGAAGTATCCCAGAGTGGTGGCTGCCATGCTTCAGGTAGCCTCATGCGGCCTGCATTTCAATGGAGTTGTGGCGGCTCGAGTTGGCTGGACTGCACGACTTCGAGTTCTACGAGAGAGCGTGATCCACCGCCGCTTTACTGTGGAAAATTGCCAACCTTTTCCTCCGGAACCCGGGGGTCGCCCCCCCCCCCCTCCGAAAATCCCTCCCCCTGCTGGAACCCCTCCCCCCCCCCCCCCCCCCCTCCCCCGGCAAAACCCCCCCCTCCCCCTAACCCCCCCTCCCCCCCCCCCCCCCCCCCCCTCCCGCTCGAAAACCGGGGGTCACTACCGGTTCGAACCCCTCCCCCCCCCCCCCCCCCCCTCCGGATCCGGAAAACCGGGGGGGGTCACTACCGGTTCGAACCCCCCCCCCCCCCCCCCCCACACTCACCGCCAGCAAACGACTCCCGGTCCCCACCACCGTCCGCATCACATCCCCCACTGGTGTTCCCAGCACCACTGTCCTCACCACCGCTGTCCCCACTGGTTCCACCACCGCCCCTACTGTCCCCACCAGTGGCCCCACCACTGTCGCACTGTCCCCGCTGTCCCCAGAACTGTTCCCACCACGGTTCCACTCTCCCCACTGTCTCCACGGCCCCAACCACTGCCCGACTATCCCCACTGTCCCCACTGTCCCACTGACTCCTCCGCTGTCCCACTGAGCTGTCCCACTGTTCCCACCACTGTCCCCACTGTCCCCACCACTGTCCCCACTGTACCTCTGTCCCATTGTCCCACCGCCGTCCTCGCCACCGCCTTCACCACTGTCCCCACCACCATTGTACCCTCCACTGTCCCCTGTTTCCACCTCATTCCCATTGTCCCCACACCACTGTCCCCACCACCCTCCACTGTCCCACTGTTTCACCACCACTGTCACACCACTGTCCCCACCACCACCGTCCCCACCACTGTGTCCCACCATTGTCCCCACCACTGTCCCCACCACTACCGTCCCCACCACTGTCCCACTGTCCCACCCACCACTGTCCCGCTATCCCCTCACCACTGTCCCCACCAACACGTCCCACCACTGTCCGCACCCCCACTCGGTTTTCGAGGGGGGGGGGTTCGAACCGGTAGTGACCCCCCCCGGTTTTCCGATCCGGACCGGTAGTGATCCGGGGGTCGTACCGGTTGTGACCCCCCCCCCGGTTTTCCGGTGGGGGGGGGGGGGAGGAGGGGTTCGAACCGGTAGTGACCCCCCCAGGTTTTCCGCCAGCAGCGGTAGAACACGCTCTTTCAGTTCTACACGATGTGCTGGTGGATACCGAGGAGACACGGCAAAGAAGACACTGGCATAGAAGCGATGTGCTACGATAAGGGCGCAGCTTCGGAGCATCTGAGCTTACGACAGATGTTCGGCGAAACATATTGGAATGCCACCTACATCATGCAGTTTCTCACCGTTGAGCCCGACGTGCTGGACACCCTGCAGGAGCAGGCGCGCCTCAAGTACCGCACGTGGGCGGGCCTCATCTGCCCGGCGTGGAAGCTTGGCGGCGAGAACATCGCGCGATAGCCAAGCGCCCTTTCTCAGCAGGCTCGCAGGGCTCCAAGAACCTGGCAGCGCATGTGGCAAGAAGGCTGGAAGACGAGTCCCCGTAGTCTACGCCGGCTCCTCCACATCCTCCTCATGGACTCCGACGCCAAGCGGAAGGAGTACCAGCGGCATCGGCCGCGGAGGAGTCTAACGAGGAGGAAGATAAGGACGATAGTCTCGACGAGCTGTACTCGGTGGAGGCGCTCTGGGCGATACCGAAAGAAGGCAAAGATATACCAGATGAGGACGACATTCTAGAGTTGGTGAGGTATCTGAAGCCAGACACCTCGGCAATCGACAGGAGTGACGTGATCACAGACTACGACGTTATGGAGGCCTGGATGATCCAGGATAACAACTACGGCAAGCTGACGCTGGAGATTGCGGAGTCTTTGCAGCCAAAGAAGCTCATCCATATTGGTTTTGCAGCAGAAGCCTGCAAGATGCTAAGTGACCTCGACATCGCGGGAGATCCCAGACACGAATATGATGTGGTGATTATTACCTTTTACGGAGACGGCACCACGAAGGCAGTGATAGAGCGCGCCGACAACATCCTGACGCCGGCCGAAAAGATAGAGCACCGAAAAGCATTACGAGCTGGGCGTCTCAAGAAGTTGAATCACTGGGCAAGCTTTACGGCCATATCCAGGATTTTGCGGAGGAACGCCAAGAACCTGATCGACGCGAAGTGGGTTGACAAATGGAAGTGGGCACAGGCATCTGATGGCACTATGACAAGGATTATTCGCTGCAGGTTGACAGTACGTGGATTCAAGGACCGCCATAAGGATGAGGTCGAGACCTTCACTGTGACGAGTACCCGCTGGGGACAGCGAATGGTGAAAATCCTGGAGGCTCAGCACCAGTGGAAACTATGCAGTGCTGATATCTCTTCGGCATTTTCTCAGGGTGCGACGTTCGAAGAGGTCTCGAAACTACTGAATGAACCAATTCGAGAGATATATTTCGAGCTGCCCAAGGATCGGCAGAACTGCTTTGCGAGGTAAAGCGCTTCGAGGCTTTCAATAACGTCTTGGAAGTTCTACGGATGGAGAAGGGATGTGAAGGCAGGCTTCGGTCTCAATGACTCCTCGCCTCTTCGGCCTTCGACGCGATCAAGTGTTGTTGTCGGTTGGTCTTCGAGCGACTCACGCCGATTCCCAACTTTGGCTGAGACATGATGGTCAGGTTCTAGTATTGGTGGTCTGCACGCACCTGGATGACCGGAAGTACGCTGGAGAGGACAAGGCAGAACGAGATGATACAAGGGCTGGAGGCGGTTTTCGGTCAAGTAGCGATGCATGAGAAGAACTTTGTTCACTGTGGGCTTCGACACCGACAAGTAAACGATATGAGTATAGAGGTGGACCAAACGGAGTACATCAAGAACCTGAGCTGCATCGACGACAAAGGGTTACAAGGCAAGAGTGACGAGGACGACCCGCTGGAGAAGCATGTGAAGTTGTATCCGTCCCTCCTTGGAACTATTGCGTGGCGTATCATGACGAGAGTGGATATATGCATATACGTGGCAGCTCTACAGGGGCATGGTAAGGCTCCCGAGGTGGGCCACATCAGGAAGATGAATGTGTTGCTGAAGTACATGAAGGAGAATCCGATGTCCCTGGTGACGCATCAGCTGAAGCTGCCGGTGAAGTTGATTACGGTTGGCGGCGCAGCTTTCAGGAGGGAGGCAGGTGACAAAGGCCTGGCCATGAGGGGCGCAGTGTATCTTCTGGTTGAGGATGGAGAAGGACCAGGAGGCAAATGCAACATGCTGGAGTACTATTCAGGAAAGCAGGCGCACGTGGTGCGAAGTACCTGGGGAGCTGAGCTGTGTCAGTGATCGAACGGATATGATTATCTTCTCCTGTTGGCAGGTTTCCTGACAGAGGTCCAGATGGGAGAGATTAGTGTACGACAGTTGCGAGACGTGGTGGATGGCGCTGAGAACTGTATGCAGCCAGTACTATCGCTGGAGGCCTGTGTAGATGCCCAGAGTGTGCTCGCCGGCATTACGGCTGAACAAATCAAGATGCCGGCCGAGAGGCACACGCTGTATCACGCGCAATGGATACGAGGGCTGTTGGACAGAACCATCCTGCGAGTGCTGTGACGGATTGATACGAAAGATGGTCTTACCAAAGGCCACGTACTACGAGAGGCACTGAGGTGCGTCGCGCGAGGATGGTGGAAGGTACACCACCGGGTCATGGCTTGGAAGTCGACGGGCCGAGTGCTCCAGGGATCGAGTCAGATTTCGAGTCGAGCACCCTCGACGACGTAGAGGGCCTCTCCATATACGTATTGATGTTGTGGAGTCGTATTCTCTGGTAGGCAGATTCCTGTGCTTGCTGGGGATCAACGACCTGAACACGTTCACCACCAGAGTCGAGAACTGGGGGTGGGACGTAGGGAGCCAGGGCAGCACGGGCGAGCATGGCGACCCGCTGCGGCTGCTTTGGCTCAAGGCCGAGCGACTGAGGCCTGCGCGCGGCGGCGCGGGCCTGCGCCCGAGGGCGCGGACACCGAGAGTGATGGTGCGGCTGTGGCGCCAGCGTCGGGAGGGAAGGCATCTCGACCTCCTCCTCCTCCTCCTCCTTTTCCTCCTCCTCCTCCTCCTTTTCCTCCTCCTCCTCCTCCTCCTCCTCCTCCTTTTCCTCCTCCTCCTCCTCCCCATATAGTTGCTGACGCATGGGCAAGCCGCGGGGCCGCCAAGAATTGGAAAGCTGTCTCTGAGCCCGTCCCCCTCACTGACCCGTGGGATGCGATTGCTAGCCTTGTCCGCGCGCGTGCGAGGGCTAGTATTGTCAGTGCAGTTGTTTTAGCTCAGACCGCGCGGCAGTCCAACTGCGGGTGCAGTCCCAGGGCCCGAGGACTAGGGCCAAAACGGCGGCGGGCAGCGTGCGCGCCACAAACATGAAAAGCATGTACATCATGCGTACACGGTGGCACGGGCGGCAGAGGGGCAGGGGAGTGCACTCTTCACACTGGGTGAGTACAATGCTGCCCCGATGCCGCTCCCTACAAGCGTGAAGCGCTGCACGCAGTCATCGCCTATACCGGCCCACAGGCCGATACACCTCAAGCAAAGTGCGGCCTGAGGCTCAAAACATAAAGTATAAAATATGAATGTCTAGACTCACTAGTCCAGACTGTCATCTCAATGTACGTGCGCACATCACCGTAGCCCTCACTAGGTCCATGCAGCGGCTGCAACAGGACCTCACGGGCTCGCAGGCCCTG